CGCGATCGATTCACAAGTATTAAAAAGGGGTTGTTTTAATGGAGTAATAAGAATAAAGACTTAACACCCGAGTATTAAAAAAACTAATACATTTTTTTAAATCATCTACAAACAACGAGTTCAATTGGCGCCTAAAGTTCCAAAAATTGATTTATGAAAAATAAGTTTAATAAAAACGGAGAAATTAAAAAACCCGCCAAACAACACAACAAAGTAAAAGTGATTGTTAGCAGCAATTAAATGGAAATGAATAAATGAAATAATCCATTTAAAGGTGAATTTAAAATTAAGGTGGACCAAAATTTTAAACCAAAATAATAAAGTTATGGGAGCAGGGAAGGATGCTCTTACGAATCATGGCACCGTTTTAAACTTTCAAGCAGTCTTATCTAGATTGGAATTAGAATCAAATCATTTCCGTGCTTAATTTGCAAACAGGTTTCATGGATTTAAAAATGCAAATAAATATCAGGGAAAAAACTTACGATTTGAACAAGTATTACTAATAACAATAATGAACAATAATAATAATAAAATGTCAAGTTATTGGTTTAATAACCAAAATTATAATTTGCCACAAAAGGTAAATTTTTGGAAAAACAATAATCAAAATAAAAATCTAAAGCAACAAGCCGTCGAGCCAATGGATATTGATCCATCGATTGACCTAATAACAATCGGCAGCAGAATAATAATTGGCATGCAAATATAACCGAGGAAGATATAAAAATAATTAAAATAGAGAGCAAACTTAAGCTCAAAAATGGAACCAGATGAAACAGTAAATCAGCCAACTAATAAATTAACCAGAGTATATAATATCAATTAAGATCATTTGTTAGACCAGACCCCTACAGGGGAATGCCTTATTTAAATAGGATAGACAGAAAAACCAAGAAGCAGCTAAAGATTTTAAATATAAATAAAAATATAAATATATAAAAACAAAAATGAGTTTTAAATATACAAAAAGGTAACTAATAATTCAAAGTATTAAGTATTACCATATTATACAAATATTTAAAACAATACAATTATTTTATGAAATCGAAAGATTAGAATCCGATCTTCTAATTGGATTCAATTTAGTAAGAAAAATTGGATCTATAATAAATACAGAAAAGAGAGTCTTGGAGTATTAAGGGAAAACCAAAAAGTTAAAATATTATGATAATAAGGAAAAAAATGAAATAAGTTTAATAAAATAATAAAATGTAAAAATATCAAGCCCGCCGTCGTTGTGTTATGCGACCAGAAACAGCTAAATAAAATAAGTACTGATCAATTTGACGGACTAAAGAAAAAAATAGTTCACTTTATTAAAAATTATCATTCAAAGATAAATATGCAAACTCCTTTTGAAACAATAGGAAATAAATTTTATTCACGACAGGCCAATATATATATGGGAAACAATATCCGTATGCTTTATCTGTCACCGTCTTCGTGAACAGCGAAATCAGTAGAATGTTAACAGAAAAATTAAACAGAAAATTCCTGAGTCTCATTTTAACTATGGAAATTATTTTACAGCTGTAAATAATTTAAATGCATAAGCATAAGTCAAACGGTACGTATACGCCTCTTGGGTACTTCGATTACCCTTATTCTGTTGGCAATGAGAATTTAAATCCCTCGTATGGACACGTCAATGGTATTTTCGCCCTGCTTCCAGAATTCAATCCATCGGCTGGAAAGTCATTGGACTCTCATCAGTTATCGTTCGGACGATCGTAAACTTATATTTTCAGTCCAACTAAAGATGCTTGGTACTACTCGCTATTGGGTAGACTCTACGGAACAAATCTTTTAAACAAGGCCAGAGTTTACTTCACTATTTTTGAATGACTTTCCATGTCCCAGTAACTTTGCGGTCGTTTTTCTAAAGATGTCAAAATCTATGAGAGATGCCACGAGGTTACCAGCAACCTATTTTAACAGCAACCTATTTTAACCGAAAGACGGCAAAAAATTAATAAAATTTATTCTGATTCTGTTTTGGAAATATCGAAGATCATCTCGGTAAACGGTAATGATACAGTTGCATTCGTAGATCTAGACAGTATGAGAACGTTAATTCGAAAATCATTCATTTATTAACCGAAAATGTACTCTTTCGAATTGATAATTCAAGGTAAAGAGTGCTGCGCTGAGAACATTCGGAAGATTCCAACGACTCTAGACCGCCCTTCTGTTGAGGAGTTGTTATCGTCGAAACACTGAATGGAGAGCATCGTCTTTGCGTCGACTACCGACTATCGTCTCAAGGTACACGAATCATCAAAATAGTTTACAGCATTTGTTACTTCAGACGACTACTACGAATATAACACTATGCCTTTTGGACTCGTCAATGCCCCAGAAGTATTCCAAGCAGTTATGAACAAAATCGTAAAACATATGGAACCAGGAGACATAATACTTCCTAGAAAAACAATTGATGAGAGTATCCAAATTCTGGAAAAATTCTTGCGGATGCTTAAAGAAAGCGGCTTAACTCTTCCATACGACAAATAAAAATCAGCAATAACATTCCTGGGCCATATTATAAGCAAAGACGGTATCACACCTGGCGAAAACATGGTGATTGCTATTAGAAACTTCTAGGTCCCCAATAACGTAAAAGAAGTAATTCAATTTTTGTGTCTTACGGGTTTCGTTCGAAAATTCGTCGAAAACTATTCCCTAATATGTGCTGCGTTCCAGTTTTAGTCCTTTAAGATTTGGCCGCACATCTCAAGTACACACACACGCTTGAGCAATCGGAGTTTTATAACAATCTCAGGATAAAACGAACTGACGACCCGTCTGGTATTTTAACAGGTTCTGTACTGACGATGAAAGTAAGTACAACAGCTACGAGCTCCAAACTTTGGCTCTCGTAGAAACGTTACAGAGGTTCAGGGTTTATGTTCTGGAAAAACCGTTCGGACTGTTACTGACTGTTCCGTTGTTGCTAAGGTCAAGGTCAATAAAGTGTTGATTACGCAAATAGCAGGTTGGTGGATTAAAATTCTCGATTACGACTGCGAATAAATTCGCAGTAATGGCAGTAAAATGTTTCACATGGATGCCATGAGCCGTGCTCCCTATTCTTCTCCTGAATTCTTTAAAATAAATAGTACCTATCATTATAACGGACATCAATGAATGGTTTCTTGCAGAAATGATTGCAGTTTTGCAGGGTCACCGCACTGGAAATCAGTTAAAACAACTTCGAGCAGAATGCGTCACCAATAGTCACCGTTTATTTCGCCAGAAATGCCGTGTTCGACAATATCGAAATTGGTTTTTGTCAAAAAGTAACAAACATTTGTATTTTGTATAATTGTATTATTTTTGTATAAAGCCAAAAAATTTTAAAATTTTTTATTTATAATGTTTGTTGCTGGCTTACTAGCTCATTAAGATGTTTGTTGATGGCTTACTAGAGTTACGTAATGGCCGACTTCGTTAGGTCAGTTAGGCAGTATGGGTCAGTATGAAAAATTATCAATATCTCGACATACACATCCACATAGTTCCGAATCACTCATATCCATGTACTCATCCTATAACAAACTCTTGTTTATTATTGCTAACGTTTCAAGTGTTTCAAAGCGCTATACATACATAAGTAAAAATGGTGCAAGCCGAAGTATTTTCAATTGAGATTAACGGATTAAGGGCATATAAATCGCTCTCCGAATACAATGCCTTAACTAAGATGATCAGGAAATTATGCGTGTTCGCGGACAGCTCAAAAACGCTCGTCACTTATCGACAAATGAAAGAAACCCAATTATTTTACCAAAGTCGCATCACTTCACGGATCTGGTAATTCGAAACGCTCACCTGAACACGCAAGGTTCCAAGGACTCCACACCTACAAAGTCTACATTGCGGTTTTTATTTGTTTAGCCACAAAGAAGTCACCGGACTATATTTTGTGGGCTCTTCAGAGTTTCATTGGCCGTTGTGGCTTATGCAGTCATATGTATAGCGACGGAGGGATCAAGTTTAAAGTTAAAACACATATTCACCGTTATTTTAAAACGACGAGCTTGACATTTGAGGAACTGTTAACGGTGCTTGTCCAAATAAAATCTTGTCTAAACTCACAGCCACTTTGCTCTTTAACCGCCGATCCAAAAGATTTAACCGCATTAATGCCTCGTCACTTTCTAATAAATGACACCCATATGGTCCTGCCGGACCCATCTTCTCAAGATAAATCGCTGAACGCCCGTTTTATGGAAGGTTAGAAACTTATTCGAAAATTTTGGCAGCGATGGTCGTCAGACTGGGTGTCTCAGCGAGACCGAAATGGCGCACGGAGCAAGCCAACTTGCAGCTAAACTGAACGAACAGCTCCAAATGAGTTGAAACGACAGTTTAGTTTGTTTAGTCTTTTTATAAACAGCATCCGGCATCTACAAGCGATCACTCTCTAAAATTTGCCGACTACCATTTCAAAGTACACCGAAGCCGGTGACAGAGATTGTACCACTTATGTAGTTATAGCTACTGTTCTCCGTCGAGCGGTAACTGAACTTAATGCTGATTCCCAGCATTGGGGGCGGCATGTACGGGTGTTTCAGACCCAATCGCTAGCATAATTATCATTGATGATTCGGATAGTTAACAGTAACGGCTCAAAGCTCTACAAGCAGCTTTAACGATTTTCTTCCACAACCTAGATGAGAAGAAGGCAGTGGTGCTAGCGTGCGGAAAATCTTCGCGTTTATTTAGTTAAAAGTTTTATCAATCCCATAGGTTATTATAAGTTCATCATTGTGAACATTAACTGGAGTAAATAAAAATTAATGAAGTCACTAGTTTTCTTCTTTACAGATTGGATTGAAAGTTCCCCAGAGCTGAACTTTGCTCTTCCTTGACACATTGCATTCCACAATTGTCACAACACTTATGTTTTAATTTTTACCAACAAACACTTGACCTCAAGCCGGCAAACATTAGAGTACTAAACTGATGGTTTTTATTATACATGTTCTTTTTAGGATCCGCAATTTATTAGTTCAAGTTACCATCGAGGCTCATCTAAATCAAAATGTACAGTCAGTGATACTTTTCGGAACCAGTTGCAGTCCCTTATAGATGTCCTGCAAAACACAAAACCATGGTAAGTTCGAATTTGATATCAACCAATGTATAACTTCCGGATGGCAACTTGGAATATTAAAAAATAACGATAGCGTCAAAAGAAGCTATAGGCAAGAAGGTAAAACGGGTGTTTGGACTTGAGTTTAGGAATTCTCGCAACCTGACAGATAAACTCGGGTTATTGTTACAAAGGCTTAGGGTAAATGTTTATGAAAATACTTAGAGAGCAATTTGCTAAGCTAGTAGAATTAAAAAAAATCGATTTGATGTTGAAATTTTTTTTAGATACATTTAGACTAAACTTGCAGACAGGACAGCCAATCGCTGAGACCAAAAAATGAAAACGAGAGAGAGTTAGCGAATTTTCATGCAAGCTAGCGACTGCACAAAAGAGTAGAGCACGGTTAATCGAAGGAATTTTACATGATTTGGCGGCTGTATAAGTAAAGTTGGTCAAATGAAAGTAGGTCTTCGGTTTAGGATTGACCAATCTCGATGTGTGGAAAGACTCCGCGCGATACTTTCTGTAACTAAAGTACCTATTTGAATTTACGCACATGTCGTGCGACCACCACCACTGCCAGCTATAAATTATAAATTATTTCTCAATTTAGTAATAGATCTCCAAAATGTATATTGCATATATAACGAATAATGAACAAATTTAATAAAATACAAAAACAGTGTAGAGAAGCCTAAAATATTTATAAATATATATATATTACATATATAGCTTTCAAACTAATTAAAGTTAGAATAATTGGGCATTGTTAAAAGCAACAAAGAAAGTAAAAAAAACATCAAAAGGTACCAACTTAAAAGTTAGGTTAGTTGTTTATGGCTGGCGTCAAACTATGTTCTTCTGAAAGTTAAATTGTTTGCCCTTTTAGAGACTTTAACTGCATTTTTTTAACAAATACAACGTGTTTTTTTCGAAATAATTTTTGAAGAAATATTAAGACTTACATCTTTATCCATTTAATGCGGTAGGGAATATTTACCTTGCTATTCAGATAAATACTACATTTTGTTTTTACTGATCGTGCCACAGTTTAAAAATACTTAGCTATTATAAAACGTATATGAGTGGGCAGTCAATTTTTATTTACGGATAATGTCCTTATTATGCCGCCTGTTTTCCGTACAGGCTTTGTAACATGATCAGGTAAGTGTTCTGTTGAATGTGAAAACTAAGCTTACATATATTTCTTAATACTCAAGTGGCGCGTTATTTATTCTCAGTGCTTTGCAAATTTTTAACAACTACCTTATTTCTGCATTGGCACGACAATTTGATTTTGGTGCTATAATTCCAAGTCCATTGCAGTATGTCCATTCATTTGACGTGCAAGTTCTCTGTTACCAACGTTTATACTCTTATTTATTTTTGTTAAGGGACGACACACATAAATTGGACATCATCACCATACAAGTAAACATTACATTCAGATAACGCATTAACATATGATGTAAACAATAAGGGCCAAGCACTGACCCTTGGGGTAAACCACGATTGACATTTTCAAATGAAGACGTACAACAGATTGAGGACGATTTTGTAGGTACGAAGACACAAGTTTGACAGCAGTTTTAGAAAACAACCAAATTTAAACATTTTATAAAAATTTAATTTTAAAATAAATTTAAATTTAAATAAATTTTATAAATTGTCCGTCCGTTTATATTCAAACTAATCTCTCAGTTTTAAAGCTATCTGCATTTCCCAAAAGTTGTCTTTCTATTGCAGGTAGTATATAAGTCGGAACGAGCCAGATCGGACGACTATAGCATATAGCTCCCATAGGAACAATCGGAAAAAAAAAAAAAAAAAATTATAACTTTGCTGTTTTTTAATTTATTTTTTAGTTCTTTGACATGTAGTAATGGTTAAATATTTCAGACTTACGGTTTAAATTTCATCAAAATCGGACGACTATAGCATATAGCTCTCATAGGAACAATCGGAAATAAAAAAAAAATTATAACTTTGCTGTTTTTTAATTTTTTGTCTAGTTCTTCGACATATAGTAATGGTTAAATATTTAAGAATTACTTTTTAAATTTCATCAAAATCAGACGACTATATCATATAGCCCCCAAAGGAACAATCGGAAAAAAATACAAAAAAAATTATAACTTTGCTGTTTTTTAATTTATTTTTTAGTTCTTCGACATATAGTAATGGTTATACATTTTATAATTACGGTTTAAATTTGATCAAAATCGGACGACTATATCGTATAGCTCCCATAGAAATAATAAAAATATATAAAATAACTATCTAATAATTGAGCTGCAAATCAACATAGCTTCAATGTTTTTCAGCATATACTCAAGTAAATCATAATTTGAATGTTTTCAAAAGTATTTAATTCATGCAATAGCTGCAAGGGTATATGAACTTCGTCTTGCCGAAGTTTGCTTTCTTTCTTGTTTATCAAAAATTTAATATTTGAAATGTAAATAAATTTTGTAATTTAAATTTTTTATCAAAAATATAATATTTAAAATTTAAATATATTTTATAAATAAATATAAATAATATTTTTAATAACAATTACCATTTTGTTTTCTGTAAGAAAACAATTTTCTGTAAGAAAACAATGTTACTTGTTCCCTTAAGTCGCCTGCCAGTTTTAAAACAGCTGTGGTACATCTTCTATTTTTCCTTAGACCAGACTGAATATTATTTAGCATTGCATTTTTTAATTTGATCAGCCATTAGATTTTCAAATACCTTTGGTAGGTAGGGTAAAATGGAGATGAGTCCATAGTCATTATTTGATTTGGTAATCGGAATTATTTTTGTAGTTCTCCAAAAGTCCGGATATGAATACGTTGTCAGTGCAGTATTAAAGGTAAGCGTTATGTATGGCATGTTGTCAAACCCTGTAACGTTACTCTTAAGTCTAAGTATACTCTGAAGGACATCACACTGGCTAACACACATAAACCCAAACCTAATATCACAGACTTTTTCAGGTAAAAATTGTGGGTTCAGATATTTATTTTCAGTGATTTCAGGTACTGTGCAGTTTAAGAACTTTTTATTAAGTTCATGTACATCTATGTCTTGCTCAACTTTTCTAGCCAACTTTTAGGTATGTGTTGAAGAAATATGCAATTATAGAAGATTATTTTTAACGTTGGTTAGATGATGTGGATGCTTTGCAGGGTTAGTTATGCATTAGATATTTCTGAAAGAGTTGTTGTATCCCTAGGACTGGGAGGTAAGTGACTGTCTTCGCTTGTCTCTGTCCATTTGTTTTGTATTTTTGAGGTGTCCTATGGTGTTGAGGGATTAAGATAGAATCTTTCCGAGCCAAGCAGCCTCGGTGGTCGATTCTATTCTTCTGCAAAGGCGGACGCACTTTTGGCCAGTCTTGTTCTTTTTTGTATACGCTCAGTTTCGGTTAGAGCTCACTCCACATATTGCCAGTGTTTTTATGTTTGGCCTTGTTGAATTGTTGTCTGCGGGTTTATGGTTCCATTTTACTTTTCTACTAGCTCAGGCTCTTTTTAACGCTTCCCTGCAGATGTCTGTGGAGATTTTTCTTATTTCCACTAGTTTATCCTGGGTGTTCCAAATAAATAGTGGAAGAATTTTTATGTTAGTTTTAGTACTGTGTAGTACTTCCAGATGGTTTTCCTTAAATTGGTGAATTCATCTGGGTGAGAGTATAGTGTATTTATGGTAAACTCTTAACGGTGGCCAGAGAAAGAATGGTCATTCCCAACCACCGATAGTCAGATTTGGTCAGTCAGGGACTCGAAGTATAGGGTATTGACGTCCCTTCTTTTTTTGGTGATACCACTACCAGAGCACTCTAGACCATGCTAGGTCGTGGCCTCCAGGTAGAAAGATGATATGTGTGGTGTGTAATTTTGTTCAGCTCGAGTCTGACCGTTGTGAGGTATTTTGATAAGAATACAGGTTCTAGGTTTATCCTTACCGCTGTTACTGAAGTTAGTATATTTTGAGGGTTTTAGGCCAAAGATTTTATTACCCACAATCCAGGGTTTTTAATTAAGCAATGCGTCCATTGCGGTGATTCCATGGCCTTTAAAAAAAAAAGATATGGCTACCTTACTGTGGTGCAGATTAATTTTTCATTGGATCTACTGTGCGTCTGAAGGTATCCTGAAGTTAAGCCTGGTGAAAATCTTTAGAACCTTTCTCTGCTGGGACCCAACGCCATTGCAGACATTCAAGTTGGCTCCATCGCGATAGTAGCCTTGTAAATATTTGCCGACCGCTCGTCCTCACAGGCAATAAGTTGGCTGCCTGCGTCAGTGCAGTCCGGTGGAGTTCTTGAATTATTACTCAGCACCTTAAGAGAGACCCGTGTGAGAGCCTCCCTGACCCAGACCCCATTGGTTTCTGGGGATCAAACCGCTCCCGTATTTTCGGTTGACGACGCCGATAATCGTCCTGTCCTTTACAACCTCCGCGAACTACTTCGTTGGTTGTTTTCTCCTTTTTGCTAGCTGGTTGTGCCATCTCCATCAACCTCTCCCGTTTATTGGCAACAGTTGGCGTCAAAATCGGGAATAAACGCATTTACACACACGTTGTCTTCCTGGATTATGGTGAAATCCTCATTTTAGGTTTGGGAACCTGGCATCCTCTTTCATACTCTCGACTTTGTGCTCACCACGAAACCTGCCTTAAACTGACGGTAAGAGAGATCCTTATGATGGTTGTTAAACCTGGCGGAAGCTAACTGATGGCCGAGGTGCACGGTCTTGGTAAGCTGGCCTTGTCTTTGGTGTAGACGAATATAAGATACCTTTTTACTTGTTGTAAGCAACGATATTCTAGAATGTAAAATCTTAATGTTAAGCTCAGAACTTTATGTTAAGCTCTTCCTCTTTTTGTATTTGCATATGCAACCGCTGCGCTCGACTAAAGCTCTATGCATAAAGAAGTTCATTAAAACCAGCGAAAGCAGTTGGAAAATTATACCCAATAGATCCACATACCATATTTTGTCTTTGCTTGCCGAATACCAGGTAACA